TTTAGCTGGGAGAGATGAGCAACTGAAGGGACTGGGTAATCTGGAACACAATTTGGGAGCTGTCCCATGTCTTAGGACCATTTAAGATTTTTTTGGTCATCTTACCTGACTTATAGACAAATTGATTTGGTTTACTTTAATTTCAGCCAATTTGGCATCCTGTTTTTTGGAGCCGGTAGGTATTTGATATAGAGCTAAAAATTATCCAGGTAACTTTGAGTCAAGTCATCCTTAGATCATATCTGACGCCTTTATTACAGGAACTAGGGAACCCTGGACTTGGGCTGTGAGCCGGCCTGGACTTGAAGTCAACTCGCATCAATGGACTAAGTGGCAAAAGGCAGGCAAGGGAAGAGGGACTCTGGGTGGGTACCAGTCTCCACAAGTAAAGGTGGAAACCAGTTCCAGGAAAAACAAGATCTCAGTAAAACTTCCAGGACTCAGCCAGAAACTGCCCCCGAGCTTGTGTAGGGGATACTTTCATGCTGTCCCATCCCTCAGGGGAGCAGGGAAAGGGCCATAGACCAGTGTCTGTGCCAGGGGGTGCTATCAGGGGCCCAGGAGCGGAGGGGTATGGACCCCACAGTCACAACCATGAGTGGTACCTCATTTCACTCTCTAGAGAATTTTTTTCTAGTTCGAGGACCATTCCGATTTTTTGTGTTTCCTTTTCCTTTTTCATTTTCTATCTGGTTTACTTTTTAAACAAAGGTTGCAGTCCTTAAGGAGAAAGGATCGAGGGATATGGGGTTTTACCCCGTACTGTGTGATCCTGGGTGTGGTTAGCAAAGTGGATTGAATTTAAATGGAAACCAGACTGGGAATCAGAATCATGAGTCCTTCGAGAAAATATTCTCATTTCCCCATGATCAGATGAGCTGGTCTGTAGTCTTATTGAAAAATAGGGCACCTAAGAAACACCTGAAACAAAACAAAATGAAATGAGATCTGAAAGCCAGCTTTTAACATGAAACATAGTGCAAATTCTCCTTGAGCAGGACTTTTTTTTATCCCAAGACAGAGGTTTCTTACCTCTCATCAGCAGAAATCCTTCCCAGAGATCTCATGTCTCCCCCACAGGCCTCTGCAAAGCCACTGTTGAAATCTAAGAAACTTTTTTTCTCTTCTTTTTTTTTTTTTTTGCTGAAGAAGATTTGCCCTGAGCTAACATCTGTGCCAGTCTTCCTCTGTTTTGTACGTGGGTCGCCACCACAGCACAGGTGACGAGTAGTGTAGGTCCGCACCCAGGAACCAAACCCAGGCCCCCAAAGCAGAGTGTGCTTAACTTAACCACTAGGCCATGGGGCCAGCCCCTAAGAAACATTTCTTATTGTCATTTAATAGAGGGAGCAAACCTTGACTTCAATACCGACCATGTCACAGACCATGTGCTAAGTAATGCAGATAATGTAAGTAAAGAAAAAAGAATTTGGAAAATGTAGTAATAAAGGTATGTACCAGGTGTGCCCTCAGAAAGAAGAGTGGTTATCCATGACTGGGGGAAGGGAGACCCTTCCCCTGGGGTTTTTTTCCTGGTTTTGTTGAGATATAACTGACATATAACATTGTATTAGTTTCAGGTGTACAACATAATGATTTGATGTACGTATATGTTGCGAAATGATCACCACAATAAGTTAGTTAACATCCATCACCTCACACAATGACAATTTTTTTCTCATGATGAGAACTTTTAAGATCTACTCTCTCAGCAATTTTCAAATACTCACTATAGCACTGTTAGCTATAGTCGCCATGCTGTACATCACACCCTCAGGACTTATTTATCTTGTAATTGGACTTGTGCACTTTTAGACCACCTTCACTCATTTCCCCCAGCCCCCCACCCCGCCTCTGGCAACCACCAAGGTTAATGTAGTGATTATGTTAAGACTTGATTTGTTTGTGGCTTCACTGGTTTAGACTCCTCCTGCAATAACAATGTAAAATCCTCATAGGGAACATCTATTGACAGCAGTGAGCCAGACATTGTGCTGAGCTCTTCTCATGAAAGGTTTTAATTAAAACTCACAATAATTCTATGAAGTGGGCACAGTTGGGATCCCCATTTTAGAGAAGAGGAAACTGAGAGATAGGAGATGAAGAAAGCTCCCCGGGCCAGTCAGGGGAAAGCTGAGAATGGAACGCTGCTCCGTCAGACTCCAGAACTCCATGTTCACCACAGATGTCCCCCACTCATCACCTGCAGGACTCTGAAATTCCCGTCACATCGAACAATTTGACTTTCCCTGAATAGGCACAACTCTCCTGCCCACTGGCCTCGATACAGCCAGCACTTCTGTCTGAACTGCACCCTGTCGGAGGGGGTTTCCCTGTGGCGGTCCCGACTCCCACATCACAGCCCTCCCATGTGGACGTGCCCACTCAGACCTGTTGAATCCACATCTCCATGGGGTGTGTGTATGGGGGCGGGTGCTTGGGAACCTGCATGTCCAAATTTGAGGTGTCTTGCTCTTGGATTCACAAACTTTAAAAATCCTAATATTAAATTTAAAATTCAAGTGTCAAATTTTTTGGTTTACATATCTGTTTCTCCCACTAGACCATGATTTCTTCATGGGCAAGAACATTATTTTATATCCCTCGAGCCTACTACAATCTGTCGTTAAAGAAACATGACTCCCTCCTTCTTTTCTTTTCTCTTCTTTTTTTTTTTTTGGTGAGGAAGGTTGGCCCTGAGCTAACATCCGTGCCCATCTTCCTCTAGTTTGTATGTGGGACGCCTCCACAGCATGGCTTGAGGAGTGGCGTAGGTCTGTGCTACAGGGATCCAAACCTGCGAACCCTGGTTGCCAAAGCAGAGCACACTGAACTTAACCACTACACCACCAGGCCGGCCCCAAACTCCCTCGTTCTTAAAACACCCCAGGATTCCCAGTTAACTACTGCATGAATCCTAACTTCTACGGTGTGTTATGCAAAGTCCTCAATGACCTAACTACTTGCCCAGGCTCGTTTCTTGGGACTCTCCTCCTTATACCGAAAGCTACAGATGGATTTGATTCATGTTCTATGGCGTTCTCTCGTGTGTGCCTGGCACCCTGGGTATGCAGCATGTTTCAGTGAACGGTGCTTCTGCATGTGGCTCTTCATCCATTGTAAGCCGACTGTAGTTGAGTCCCAGCTCAAGCCAAGCTCAACATTCCTCAGACCCTCCGAATTCCTATCCTCACTGGTCTTCTTCCATGGACGCTCCAAATTAGCCCAAGAAAATCAAACTCCCTGCCTCGTATTTGCCCTACAGAGACATAGGTAAACACCAGCTGGGCGTATCTGGCAAAATTTCCAGCAATGAAAGCAGTTTGGGGCTATGAAAACCAGATTTATTTATTTGGATATGGGACTGGATGGGCCTTTGGAAATTTTTCCAACTCCCAGTGCCATTTTTAGCATCTTTTAGAGACATAAACTAATTTAACTGCAGGGCACAGAAATGGATTCTATGCAGTGAAGTCTGGGGTGACCTCTCCCGCCCGTGTAACTGTCCTGTGTTTGGGGTACAGCTGACAGCTGCCGCTCCTTGCTAAGCACTGCAGATTTCAAAACAGCTTTGCCTAGAGCAGGGGTCAACAAAGTTTTTCTCTAAAGGGCCAGAGAGTAAATATTTTAGGTTTTATGCTCTCTGTCATGGTTCTGCCATTACAGCTCAAAGCCCCCAGCAGCAGCATGTTAATGAATGGGCGTGGCTGTGTTCCAATAAAACTTTGTTTATGGACACTGAAATTTGAATTTAGAAATTTTTCACATGTTTGGAAATATGATTCTTCTATAGATTCTTTTCCCCAACCATTTGAAAATGTAAAAGCCATTCTTAGCTTGCGGATCTGTGCAAAAACAGGTGGCAGGCTGGATGTGGCCCACAGGCCACAGTTTGCTGCACCTGGGCTGGGTTACTGGTGCTGCTTCAGCATTCATCAGCTTTGCTGAGAGGGCTCACTAAATGAGATCTCTGGGCCTCATCATAAGGGTTTTTGATTCAAAAAATATAGGGAGGGGCCTGAATATTTCTAAGAGGTTCCCAGGTGATCTGTTGCAGGTCTGGTGACCATACTTTGAGAACCACTGATCTAGAATGGCCACAGTCTTGTTTTATTCAAGAGCTTGAGGGTTTCAGCCCTGCTGACAGTCACTGGTGTGTAATGACTTGCAGGTGTCACACATCCTGAATCAGCTGTGACTGTGGTCCAGAAAGTCAGGGCAGGCCTCCATCAGAGGTCCCTTGGGGCAAGAGGAAGGCAAGGCAAAAAGAATTCCCATCCAGCCCAACCAGCAGGTGGAGAACAGAGTAAGACACAGATTCTGGGAGAGCCTGAGGCTCCTAAGAGTGCCTGGGAAGGGACCACCTACACCTGGCATGGGGCTTGCATCCTGGGTGCTGGGTTCCAGGAACCCTAGCCCCAACCGGCTGGAAGGGCAGGGATCAGGCCCTGGAAGGGAGGGAATCTGTTGTGGGGGTGGTGTTTGGGGCCAGGGACTAAACTCCCCTTGATTTCTGCAGAAACTTTCCTCACCAGTGACAAGAGAAACCAGGGATGTGAAAATAGAATCCAAGTGGGTTTTTCAGGGGTTGTTTGTTTTCCAGTTGTGTTTTTTTTTTTTTTTTTTGTGAGGAAGATCAGCCTTGAGCTAACATCCACGTCAATCCTCCTCCTTTTTGCTGAGGAAGACCGGCCCTGAGCTAACATCTATTGCCAATCCTCCTCCTTTTTTTATCCCCCTTTTTCTCCCCAAAGTACCAGTAGATAGTTATATGTCATAGCTGCACATCCTGCTAGTTTCTGTATGTGGGACGCTGCCTCAGCATGGCTGGACAAGTGGTGCATCAGTGCGTACCCGGGATCCAAACTCAGGTTGCCAGCAGCAGAGCATGAGCACTTAACCGCTAAGCCATGGGGCCAGCCCCTCCAGTCGTGTTTGATGTATGTTTTACTTTGTGGTTGTTTTCTGTCACCAAATTGCTTTCATGGTGGTTTGGGATCCAGAGACCTGGGTCTCTGAATTGTGATCATGTGACCTGCCCAGCCCTCTGTGGTATAGGCTCCCATGACTACTGTAAGGGAGGAAAAACTCTTCCTCTACTCGCTTAGGTTCAATCCCTGGTAGCCCACAAATTCAACTAACAAAAGACAGATTAACAAGAGAAAGGGCACACAATTTTTACTCCTATTTACATACACCGGAGAGTTCACAGAAAAGAAGTGAAACTCAAAGAAGTGGTTAGATTCAGGGGTTTATATACCGTTTTAACAAAGGAAACGGGTTTGGGCTTCAAGAAACGATAAATCGTAAATTGACTAGGAAATGTACAGGGAGACTAATGGAAAATAAGCATTATTTTAGTAACTTCTGTTTATGCAAACTCATCTCTGGGGGTTAGAGCTGCTCTCCTCTTCCTGGTATGGGAGGCACCTTCACAAGGGTAATTTATGCCCTGCTTTCAGGCAGATAATGAGAGGGCAGAGAACTCCTCCTGCATCTGTTGATTCTCAATTGCCTTCAGCTCAAAGTCATCCTCCTGGTGTATTTTGTGGTGTATATCCTGATCCCCTTCACCACCACTATCAGTGGTTTGGGAGCTAGCCTGCTGGGATGTGAATCATGTCTCCTCCTTTACTCTGTGACTTTGGTAAAGTTACTTAAAATTCTCTAAGCCTCAGACCCCTCATCTGTAAAAACGGAGATAAAAATAGCACCCACCTCATAGACTTAATGGAAATTTAATGAGGAAATGTGTGAAATGAGCTTGGAATAATGCCGAACACAGATTAAGCACTAGATAAGCATGAGCTGCTATTGTTCGAGGGTCGGCCTGCTGGGCTTCTGTGCATGACTGCCTCATAGAGTGGTTATAAATGGAGGCTGCCTTTATTTTCTGTTAGTTTTTAAAAATTCCGCCTTGTCCCTCCAGAGAGCGTGGCAGCAGACTCAGTGGAAAGAACATGAGACTTTGACGGTAGCTTAAGAGATCTTTAAAAGGTGCAAGTCCAGTTGGGTCCCCCCTTGGGCTGGGATCCTTTGGGGTTCCTGCTGCTCTGACATTAAAACTCAAGTCTGTAACTCTGGCTGTAAGGCCTGACGTGGCCCGTGAAGGGTGGCAGAATATGCCACGTCAAAATATGCCACTTTGGCTTATTGACTATTTTGAGCTGTAGACACTTGAATAACAGCAAATGCAGGGAGAGCCTTACTCAGAACTCCCCTATCTGTCTAAAGACACGTCCTCCAAAAGGAATTCAGTGGTCATAAATCCCCTCCCTGGGAGCTTCATCAACCAGGGGAGGGTGACTCATCACGGGAGAGGAGACTAGAAGTTGACACCACACTCAAGCAAACTGTCACAGACTGTCATACCTCGCATCTATTCTTCTAAGTGACTAGTCACCTGTCCTAAAAATTGTTTCTTCTGCCTTAAGAGGCCTACAGCCCTCTCCTCTTCCCCTAGTAGGATGGTATTTAAGCCTGAATTCTAAGCCACCTCTTTCAGTTACTCATTTTTGCTGGGTATCTCCCATGTATACATGAAATATACATGTTATTAAATTTTGGATTTTTGTACTCTTTTGTTAATCTGTCCTTGATTACAGGGTTTCAGCCAAGAACTCAGAAGTGTAGAGGGAAATTCCTTTTTCCTCCCCTACGCCTGTCTCCATCCACTTCTCCAGGCTGGTGCTATACTGCTCTCTTCTCTGCTCATGACATGTGGCTTGTTCTTTCATTCTCTTTTCCCTGCCCCCAGCTCTCTGAGCACCCCGTAGCCTCCTTTCATGGCCCTTGTCACCACTGTAGGTCAATCCCATTTGTGAGATGTTTGTTTCACGTCTGTCTCCTCTACCAGATTGTAAATTCAATGAGTGTATGTGCTGAATATCCGTCAGCCCTGAATACCCAGCACCTGGTACAGTTCTTAGCATCTTATGGGGATGTGGAAAATATGTGCGGAATGAATGAAAGAATATTAGTGACCAAGGAAGTCATCAGAGAATGTCCCACAGTACAGAACTTGTTGGAGATGCTTAGTTGATACTTTAGTGAGAAGACATTGGCAAGCTACACTTACTAGCAGTTGCTACCATGCACTGAGTGCCTACTATTCACTCAACAAGCATTGATTGAGCACCTACTGTGTGCAAAGCCCTGGGCTTGGCACTGGGCCATAGCATTGGACACAACAGCCAGGAAGCCCTGCCCTTATAAAGCATGAGACACAGATGCTCTGATTGTTTTGTTGTGATTTTGTACTTTGATAGAATTCAAATGCCCAGATAAATTGCAAGAATAGCACAAGGAACTCCCCTATGCCCTTTACCAAGATTCACCACTTGATTTCATTTCACCCCATTTTGAGAGCCAAGTTTTAATGTTAAACTTTATTGAATAAAGTTAGAGGAATTTTGGTAAAGGAGAATTTGGGGGTTCAAGCGAGTTTGCAATTTTAGGACCATGGCCAGTTGCTGTGGAGTGTTTTATTCCTTTTTCTCCGAATCATGAGTCACCGAGCTGACCAGATTGCCCATAAAATGGGTGACCGCACCCTCAGCAGGGTGCTCAAGGAACAAGTGAATGATAGTGAAGTGCATTTTAATAACCTCTGATGAAAGCCATCATGCAAAAGTAAAAAATGCTTATTCTCTTTTCCTTTCTCTTACAGCTAACAGCTGTGACTGATTTTATTTTTGTCACCAGGATTAGCCTACATTTTCCCTAGCCTGGTTTCCATGTCCCTCATGGTGGGACCTTGCCCTCACCCCCCACTCCCTCCAGCTTCCAACACTCACATGTGCGCATATCCAGCTGCCTCTGCGATTGCATCATTTGTGAGCTCCCGTTGCCATGGCAGCGTGAGGGCTTAGGAGGCTGTGTTTTCCTTTGTGAAGATTTTTTTGCATTCCTCGTCTCAGCAGTTAAGCATCCTGAGCTGATTGACAATTCAGCTGCATTTGGTTAATACTCTTGTCAAAAGAAACTCTTTTAATGTCCCTAGCTACTTTTTACCTAACACTTTATCTAATCCAGGATTGCCATGCCGCACAATTCCAGGGGTTTCTATTCTCGTGGTAGTTAGCAGAAGTGGAGCCCCCCCTGCAGTTCTGCCGTCCATTTTCCTTCATGCTGTTCACTGCTTCCCTATCAAACCCCAAGATCATCCCCAATTGACTGAATTGTTTTCAGACAATTCCAATTCACTCATTTAGGGTTTTAAAATTTCTTAGGCCTTATGATGAGTATTGGACAACTACTGATTGGGTATTTCTCACTCCTAAGACGCTGAGTTAAATGCTTTACAATTGCAGAAGTATCAAGGTAAACTTTATCCTGCTTCAAGAAGGCTCTGGGCTTCTGGGTGAGAGACAAAAAGCATTTAAAACTGGTCATTTGGTTCACTTTCCTAAGAATAGTTGAGCTTTGGATGTGTTAATGCTCTCCAGCCAAAGGCCACCAGAAACACACCTATCATTGAACAAGTTGGGATTATCACCCATTACAGTGAAGGACGAGGCACACCATGGGCAGCCATGGGGCATCTCAGTAAGAGGTGACAGGAAGATGTTACAGGGTTTGGGTTTCTGTTTGGTGATTTGCGGAGAGTTTAAGGAAGAAGGGCTTTGCTCTGGATGGGATGTTGTCAGGAAGCAAGGGAAATTCTGTAATTAGGCAGCTTAATAAATCTTGATTTATCTGTAAGGAAAGAAGATTGAACTGAGCCTACAGCTGTTGTCAGTAAAGGAGCAGCAGTCGCCCATATTAGCTGGGATGGGGGCTGTTTAGTCATTTTTGTGGCTTGGACAATGCTCATGTTTTTGTTTGTGTTCAGACATAATTACAGAGAGGTCTTGTTTTTGTCTTGATCCATCAAGAACAGTCACAGAGTGGCCTTGTCTGACGTCGATGCTCTATGAAATTGGTTACGTTCATCAGGAGGAGTCTGCAGTGTACCTGTGAGTACCAGGCTAGTTCCCAGATGTGAGAGCATGTACTTTTTCTCAGTTAAGAATGTCAGAACTTAACAAACAGCAATGAGACTTTAAAAGATAGTAATCCTGTGTGTTACTTTTTATTTATATCCTAGTTTAATCCAGAAATAATTTGCTGTGATTCTGAAAAAAATGGTTCCTTCCAGCTTTCCATACTTAAGCATTTCAAAATCATAGAATATTAGATTCAGAAGAAGGTTTAAAATGGTCTAGCCAGAGGTTTTGCAAACTTCTGCTTCATCAAGATATTTATGATGAGTGTTGATCACATGTAGGACCCACTCTTATATTTTGACAGCACTCCAAAACTTTGGTGGTGAAGTTTAAAAAAAAAGATGATTCAAAATCACCATGACTCTTCAATGTTGGTAAGTGGGGCTGAAGCAGATGAGAGGGGCCGTTGACGATGGTTCATGAGCAGCTCCTCAAGGTTGTCTGTAATTCCAACCTGTCCTTTTCCCACTGAAGAATAAACTCAATTCATTTCAATACAATTTATATACAGCAGAAATGACTTGCATCATTTAGTACTTTATAAAATTAGGAAACATTAGTTGATACAAATGTCATAGTAAACCCCACCACAGCCACGTTTCCCCAGTGAGATGGAGAACCACCATCTATGTAGTCTAAACCTTCATTGTATCAATGAGAAAAAACTGAAGGCCAGGGAGGGAGAATGAAGAGCCTGGAGTTTGGGGTTCATCCATTAAAGGACTGTGCTTGGGCTGCCCTTCGTCAGCAGCCTCCCCTCTCATCTGTGGATTCCTCCCATGCTTGGTCTTCCCACTTCTTTCATATTCCTTGGATTCTGTCTGCTGGCATTGATCCAACCCCCCCCACCCATCCTCCACTTCCTCACACACCCACCCTTCCAACCTCCAACACAAGTTGCCACCCTCCCAGACCATAACTTCCACTTAAGTGTGATGGAGTTAGCAATGCTCAGAATACTACTATCACGGTTAAAAGCCCAGAATTTTTCCCTCAGACTGGGATCTCTATAAGTGTAAGGATC